CTCAGGCAACATAATGGTAATGGGCTCTGGAACCTTTTTAGTAAATTTAGACAAGATAATTACTTTTTTTGCGACATCGAACGTTGTTGAATCATATTAGAAATTTTCTGTAGAGATTCTAGCGACATGAAACTCTATACATTGGCTAATATAGATTCAAAACCAAAGCACATTCAAAACTAAAGCATCTAAATCGATCTATTTGTACTGGATGATATTCATTTAGCTAATTATTTAATTTAATAGATAAAGAACATTAAGTAAATTTAATAATTTAATTAATAAAGAACATTAACTAAATTAAAGGCTATTAATCATTTTATAAGTTTTGCGATGTTGAAATTTTTTCAAATTACTTATATAGAGGCATCAAATTGTTATACAATAGTTTACTTCAATAATAGTTTAAACTTTTATAAGACAAATTGGTCCATAAAATCATTACTTTGATGTTTTACAATCTTTGCTCGTAATATTTACTAACTTTGTTATCTGCAATTATAATTTCTCTTGTTATCTTTTTTAATGGAATTTCATGATTGAATCGATAATTCATTATTTACAAAACGTATTGTTCATTTTGAATATTTTAATTTTTTAATATGTTTTCGATTTGGTTGAAATCGATATTTTTTAAGAACAAGAAAAAATTTTCATCTCTATCGTTCATAAAATTACTTAGCTAGGACTTTCTACGCGTCACACACGCGAAACACTTTGTTCCGCGTAGTTCGTGGGTTTCGTTCTAACCAAGAATGTACAAACAACTTTGATTATTTACTATTTACTATTTTTCATATGAAATATTATTTTTCGAATTCTCTAGTTGTCGACAACGGAACAACACGTGAATCCAAGCGTCGAATCAGTGATAAGTTTGGGACTGTTTGCACTAGAGCCCCAAGCAGAGAAGATTTTTCTAAACCGCAACTACACTTATCCGCAGAGTTCACGTCCACATCCGCACTGCTCATTATCCGCAACTGCGAAAAGACAAACTAAATCGGCCGTCTTAATCTCATGTTTAAAATTAGAAGATAGCAACACTAGAAAGTAATCTATTTACAATATAATTATAATCAGACAGCAGATAATCTCAATTTATTTTCAAACAATTTAAAAAAATTTTAATATTTTCGACTAAAACAACAATTACAAAATAAACGACGTTGTGCAAATTATTTAATTATTTATTATATGTTATCCTCGCTGATACTTTTAACAGTCTGTACTAGAATCAATGTCAGACGATGTTTATGATAGTGCACATAAATTGCTTGTTGGGCATTTTTCTTGATTCGGGCTTGGACACCCGAGTGTGTACCTCCCATAATTGATGCTCCATCGTAACAATGAGCGATTAGGTGGTTCCTATTTGGCTTAAACTCATCAGTAATATCAATGATAGACGATGTTAGATGGAAAGCATCAACCGGATGCATGTGATACTCTCCAAGTGGTTTTCCATTGATGACGCTATTATCAGCATATCTTATGAAGTAACTGAGCTGTTACTTCTCGGATTCGTCTCTGGTTTCATCAACAAGTATTGAACAATACCTGACCTTTTTTACTATATAGAGTCGGGACTGTTGCAGTAGACGATAAATTATATCATTTTGATATTCGAGAAAGACCTAACTCGTCATTAAGAAGATCTAACAAATCATACAGAAAATTAATAGTGCTAGTCCTGTTGCAGTTGTAGAGTTGGTTGCACTGCACATATTTGCTTCCTGTTTAGTTGTTGAGATAGGTAGTTTCTCACTCGGATAACAGTCGTCTCATCAGTTTTTTTTCTTTCACTCTACGGTTCTGAAACCAGTACTTAACCTGACGACTAGTCAGGCTGGTTTCATTTACAATTCGTTCTCTATCACTGCGATTAATATATTGGTTTTGGCTAAATTCCCGTTCCAAAACATTAAGTATTTCATCCCTGTAACCCTCTCGGTAAAATTCATCTGTGCGAATCTTATCCTCCGCTTTATTTTTTTTCTTATTTTTTTCTTTTTTATTTCCACCCTTTAACTCAATTGGAAGATCTTTCGGAAAAAGAGGTAGCAAACCTTCTGGAAAATGTTGCAAATCTTTTGGAAGATTTAACAAATCTTCCACGTGATCCAACAAATCTTGTGGAACATCTAGCAAATCATCCGGAAGATTTAACAACAAATTTTCTGGATCTTCTGGAACGTCTAGCAAATCATCCGGAAGATCTAACAAGTCTTCTGGAAAAATCATGGCGCTAGTTTCTGGTAGCTCCTGCAGTTCTGTAGGTTGTTGTTTCGTTGCCATCATCAGTTCTTTCTCAGGCAAATTGATGGTAATGGGCCCTGGTGCCTTTTTAGTAAATTTAGGCAAGATAATTACTTTTTTTTGCGACATCGAACGTTTTTGATTCATATTAAAAATTTTCTTCAGAGATTTTAGCGACTCTTTGCGAGGTTGAAAATTTATTCAAATTACTAAAACAGTGGCCTCAAATTGTTATCCAATAATTTACTTCAATAATAGTTAAAGCTTTTATAGGACGAATTAGTCCGTAGAATCATTACTTTGATGTTTTTCAATCTTAGCTTGTAAAATTTTCAACTTTATCGTTCATAGAATTACTTAGCTAAGACTTGCTACGCGTCCCACACGCAAAACAGTTTGTTCCGCCTAGTGCGTGGGTTTCGTTCTAACCAAGAATGTACAAACAACTTTGATTATTTACCATGTGGAAATAAAACTTTCCAATTAAATGCCTTAGGAAGAACGATTTAATTTATAAAATGTTTCAACAAAAAATTTTCAAATCGATCAGCTAGAATTTAATAAATTTTTCATATGAATTAATATTTTTCGATTCATTCTCTAGTTGTCGACAACGGAACAACGCAGAACAACACGTGAATCCAAGCGTCGCATCACGTGGTAAGTTTGGGACTATTTGCACTAGAGCCCCAAGCAGAGATTTTTCTAAACCGCAACCACCCGCATCTACAGAGTTCACGCCCGCAACCGCCCACATCCGCACTGCTCATTATCCGCACCTGCGAAAAGACAAACTAAATCGGCCGTCTTAATCTCATGTTTAAAATTAGAAGATAGCAACACTAGAAAGTAATCTATTTACAATATAATTATAATCAGACAGCAGATAATCTGCTGAGAAGACAACTTTCAATTTAAAAAATTTTTTACGACGATGAGGAAGTTGAAGAAGCAATTTATTTATTTATTTAATATTTATAAAGATGTTTTTAAACATATATATATATATATATATATATATATATATATATATATATATATATATATATATGATATTATCGGATTTTAAACAAACTAATATAACGAAATATCTGCCGAATAAAAATATTTTATTATTATTGTTATTATTATTATTATATAGTGATGATTCCATCCTATGTTAAAATATCTATTCCCTTTCGGTTTCGATTATTTTCAGGTGTAAAATTTCGATTTCGATTTTTTTTCGAACAAAATTCAACTCAATGATTTTTTGTCTTTAAATTTCATTGAAACAATTTAAAATTTTAAATGTTAAAAACAAATTATCATAAAACATGTCAGAAATTATTGTAAGTATTAAAATATATGTCAGAACAGAACTATGAGTACACACCTATCTAATTATATCGTCCAGCAGCTTCCAAAGTGCAATCAACTTTTTGTTTTTATTATCATATGCACTCCTTAGAAGTTCTCGAAGGATGATCACCCACGTAACATGAACATTTAGTGAGAACAATTCACAACATAACATAATGGCTAAATCAACATACCAAACAGAAGTTATTTATACATGCATATATACAAAGTAAATCAAGAAATCCAAAAATTATATAACCAAATTAAAAAAAAAACAAGAAACCGGTCAACATTTGATAAGTAAATACATAGACATTATTTAAAAAATGTTCAAAAAAGTAAAATTTAAGGCGACGACGAAAAAAAAGTTGAGTATGTTTTGTTGTAGTGGTGGTGTGAAGCAAAAACAAACACATAAAAAATAGTAAAACGTCGTAAGAATAGTAGTCAGTCATTGACCTATAATTAAATTACTCCCAGGGCCTTAGCTTACCAACAATGATTAACTCATCCAATCTACCTACAAATTTGTATTTCTAATTTTTAGAAATTTTACATATTCCAGGTATTGTATTTTACATATTTTAACATTTTTAATTTGCATTTTTTGTATAATTTAATTTTTTTTAATTTTTATGTTAGAAACTTTTTAACTAATGTTAATCTCTAGCCTACCTACGGTTGTCCAAATCATCTCAAACCCTATAACTTACCTACGAATTAAATTAAAGTCCGGTAAAGAAAATAACAAGAACAAGTTGAAGAGAAGATTAACAACGACGACAACACCAAAAAATGGATGCTGTGTAAGTGTGTGCTGTATTGACGTGTGTGTTTGTGCGTGTGCGTGTGTGTGTGTGCGTGTGTGTAAATGTGCGCGCGTGTGTGTGTGTAAATGTGCGGGTGTGTACTCTCCAGAAACTTCTTCACTACGGACAAATACCGGATACTGAAAAAAAATTTTTTTAAAATAAAAACAAAGCCATTGGAAAAAACCTTACTTCAAAAATGATCGTTACTGTACTCCACTGCACTACCACCATCTGGTCGGCACACAAGATGTCATCCAAACTGCAGAGTGTCAAGCGAACAGCCAACGATCCTATTTCACTATCATCATACTAAGTCATCATGAGACAATCATCTGAAACGTGCTGACTCCCACCACAGCCCACCTCTCATCATTCTGTAGACAAAAATTTTTGTTATTTGCGTAGTAGTAAATGAATGTTAGAATCTTAGAAGCAATAGGACGCAATAGGGCAGTTCTACAAATCCAGTTTATAATTCCGTGTGCCAGCCAGACATTGATAGTCTGTTTTGCTGATACTATCTCGGTCCTAGAACTTTTAATCTCATTAAATTATCTTGTCAACATTTAGGATCTTTCCCTGATTAATTTTGTTTATATAGAAATAATAGATTTCCTAACTTTTAATTTTGCATGAATATTCTTTTTTATTTGTTGGTTATAATTTTAAAATGGCTGACAACATCTTTCTGTTGAACTAAATTTAGTTTGTAATTAGTTAAAAAAATATTAATAGGCAATTTCTTGAGAAAAAAAAGGAAATAAAGTTAAAGATGGAACTTCGAGTGGGGAACAAATTTAGGCTGGGCAGAAAGATTGGCAGTGGTTCATTCGGTGACATTTACCTCGGTTTAGTGAAGTTTTTGTTAATTATTTGATTTTGTACGAACATTAAAATTAAATTGAGCCCAATGGCGCTAGTCCATCATTCAATTTCAATTTCTCACTTTTTCTTTGTGCTCAATTTAAAATTTTTTTCTTTTATTTTTATATCACCTGCCAGTTGGTGTTGGTGTTTGAAGTGTTAATCATCTTATTAGTAAAATCTAAATGAAACATTAATTTATTTTTGGTTTAATTTAAATTTCAAATTTAGTTATCATTTAGTATTAATGCAGCCTATTGGTTCATTTTTAAAATAATTATTAGTAATACAGTACTTGAAATAACATATTAATATTAAATAGAGATTTTAATATAATTCATGAGCTGAAATGAATGAATAGTGAAAGTGATGTACATTTAAATTGCTAAAATATATTTAAAAAATAATTTAAATAGGGACGGACATAACAAATGCAGAAGAGGTTGCCATTAAGTTGGAGTGCGTCAAAACGAAACATCCCCAGCTACACATCGAGAGCAAAATATACAAACTAATGCAAGGGGGAGGTCTGTCATTGTGGCTGTTGTGGTCATTGTGGTTGCTGCTGCTGGTGTTTGCTGCTGTTGTGGTTACTGCTGCTACTGTCTGCACTATTTACTTTTGAATCTTTTTGTTTTCTATTGACATCAAATAATATGGCCCCCAATTGTACCTAGAAGAAGATTGGGAAACTTGAAATTTGGCTGGTGCTTGTTGTTCTAGACCCATCATGTTTCTTTAGAACAATGCTTTAGAACAATGCTTTTTTATTTATGAATTTACACACACATACATATACACACACACGTACAGACATACTCATACATCATACAAACACTTTGTACACACTTACGCACACTTACTTACACATTCATTTACACTTTACACACACACACACACACATACACACCTATTAATACACACACACACACATACTTACTCACACATACACACATGTTATACATGTTCCCAGTTGGTATCCCGATAATAAAGTGGTGTGGGTCGGAGGGTGACTACAACGTCATGGTCATGGAACTACTCGGTCCATCTCTCGAAGATCTCTTCAACTTCTGTTCCAGGAAGTTCAGTCTCAAAACTGTACTCCTGCTCGCTGACCAGATGGTGGGTTGTGGTAGTGGGTTGCGTGGGTAGGTGTGAAAGGGTGGGTAGGTGTGAGTGGGTGGGTAGGTGTGAGTGCGTGTCTGGTGTGCTGGGTGGCAGACTGACTGATAGAAGTCTGGTTAGATTGGTGACTGACCGATGACAATAATGATGAGATGTGGTGAATGAGTGATCATGGTGATAGCCCTGGTGGTGTGATAGTTGTTTTATTTTTTCATAAGATGGCAAACACATTGATGTGTGTATGATAAGTTTGTAATTGATGTTATAGCACTTTTTGCCTATGTATCCTTACAATTGTTATATTATTGGTTTTTGTGACTGTGTGTGTGCGTGCGTGTGTGTATGTGTGTGTGTGTAGTATATCCATGTGTATCGGTATGATGTTAAATGTACTTTTATTAAATTTTGTTGCTAACAAGTGTTCTATTCTGAACTAGCAGTTAATTGTTTTGGTTGCTGCTATAAAAAGACCAGCTGGGAGATTGAATTTTTAATTTGCCTGGGATTGAGTGCTGCATTTAATTGTTTCTATTTCTGTAACCAAACATCATTTTTCTAATCATTTCTTCATTTTTAATTATTTCATTTTTTAATTGCTTTCTTTGTTAGTTTGTTAATGGTTCTTTAAATGTTTATTTCACTGTCTGCTCCTGGTTTTTTGTTGTCATGGTCTGGAAGGAAACTCATCTTCATCCTCACAATCAGTCACAATCACTCTCATTATTATTTCCATTTCTGTCATTGGTTCATTTAAAAAAGATTTTATCGATTAATCAATTAATTCAATTAAATCAATTCATTATCTAGCTAGGTCACCAATCATGGTCATTGCAGTTGTTGTTGCTTCATTAGTTTTCTACTCACCCATCATCATCAGATTAAATTTCAATCACTGAACCGCTTCATTTTTTTCATCTAGTTTTTCATCTAGCTATCAATGTATCAGACCAATCGATATAAATTATCGATCATTATTATTTCTAAAAACTCATCTTCATCCCACAATCGGTCACAACCACTCTTCTTATTATTTCCTTTTTGTCATTTGGTTTATTTAAAAAAGATTTAATCAATTAATTCAAGTAAATCAATTTAATTTATTCAATTTAATCATTTAAATCAATTAATTAATTCAATTAATTAATCATCATCATCGCCACATCATGTGAGGGTAGCAACAATGGAAAGTATTCACCTAGTTAATTATTCATGTCCTATGATTGTTATGAACTCTGTTCATAAACAAATTATGAACAAGTGAGTGAATGATGAACAGGGGAATGAATGAATGGTGAACAAATGAATGAATCAATGAATGATCAACCATTGAATGATGAACAGGGGAATGAATGAATGGTGAACAATTGAATGAATCAACGAATGATCAACTATTGAATATAACATAATTTATATGATAATTGATCAATTGGTGAATTAATTAACTGAGGAAAAGACAAGAAAAATTTGATAAAAAAAATTAACAATGATAAACATGAAATAAACGGAATGGAACCTACAAACGAACGAACCAACGAAAACAAACATACAAACAAATACATAATCTGACAAACAGTTCAAATTGAATGAATAAATAAATAAACAAATGTTACAATATTGAACTGGATATAAACATCACCATTTAACAAAGGCATACCAGGCAACCATCCTAATCTAATTGGATATTATCTTACATAACACTTATGCTTGTGTGCGTGTGTGTGTACGTATTTTTTGTCTGTGTGTGTGTGTGTGTGTGTGGGTGCGTGCGTGTGTATGCGTGCATGTGGGTATTTCATTTGGTGCATGTTCATTATTTTGTGTAACTGAATCATGTATGTTTGTGTTTTGTTGTTGTTGTTTGGTTTCCTGTAATTTATTTTCATCGTCGTCATCATCATCGTCGTCATCATCATCGTCGTCATCATACATTCACTTCACTTTTTACATCTTCCTGGATTACTCACCATTATCATCATCATCATCATTACTGTCCTTGATGTACATTTTTATACATGTTTGTCATTATTTTTTGGGTTATTTTGTAACCACCATCATCATTAACGTCGTCGTCGTCGTCATCATCATTATCGTCATCACCATCATTATCGTCATCATCGTCATCATCATCATCCAGAGTTCATCATTTATCATCACATTTACAAATAAACATTAATAAATTACATGTAACCTTAGAAATGTAAACTGGCCAGAAAATAAACACACATGCAAATGCATACAACCACACATTCAGCAACACACACACAAAACAACAAACTCATACAAACTCATACAAACAAAAAAACAATCATACAAACTTAACACCACGCATACAATCTTATACAAACCCAACAGCTCTCATACAAACACAACACCACGCATACAAACTCACACAAACGCCAACAAAAAACAGATCAGTCGCGTAGAATACATCCACTCGAAGAACTTCATCCATCGCGACATCAAGCCCGACAACTTCCTGATGGGCCTCGGTAAGAAGGGCAACCTCGTCTATACCATTGACTTTGGCCTGGCCAAGAAGTACAGAGACGCCCGCACACATCAACACATACCTTACAAGGAGAACAAGAACCTGACTGGAACCGCAAGATACGCCAGTATTAATACACACCTCGGGATTGGTTGGTTTTGAGCCCTCTCTTGGCGTTTTCTTGGCTGTTGTTGCTTGCTGTTTTAGTTAGTTAGCTAGCAGATGTTTCTGTCTGTTGTTGTTTTGCTGTCTAGTTGGTTTTCTTTTGTTTGTCTGTCTGTTCGTTTGTTTGTTTTTGTTTGTTTGTTTGTTTGTTGTCTTTTTGTTGTCTTTTTGTTGTCTTTTTGTTGTCTTTTTGTTGTCTTTGTGATCTTTGTTTTTGATTTGATTCCAATAGTACTTTTTAGCTCCTTCATGATTATTTATTTTTTCTTCATCTAGTTTGATTCTTCTTTTTTATTCTGATTGATCTTTTTAAGCTTCTCTTTTTCTTTCTCTGTTATGATGATTGTTGCTTTGTGCATGGGCTGATATTTTCCGGTTGTTCATTCATTCTGAGCTAATGAGCAAACAAATAAGCCAGCCAGCTACTGATGTTTCATTGAAGATGATTGTTTACAGCAGATTTTGAAAAATTTTTGTTATGAAACTTTTCAAAATGTTAACCATAATAACACAGCCAGGTTAAGTATATTTATGACTTTAGAATGCTACTACAAATATTATTGCCATTGTTATATGTTGTGAACATTATAATGTGCCTAGTGTATGTGTGTGTATGTGTGCGTGTGTGTGTTTGTGTTCATTCATCACATTTATGCTTAACTTATTTCTTACCATTGATGTTCAATTCTGAATAGCCATATAATTCACTTAAAACGTTTCTTTGTGTGTGTGTGTGTATGTATGCATGCATATATGTATGTGTATTTGCATGTATATATGTATGCATGCATGGATCCGTGTATATTTGTACCTACATATATGTGTATGCATGTATACAAGTTGGTATACACTGTTTGTTTATTTGTATGTGTAAAAATCTGTGTATTCATTCACCTATAGAATGATCTCGATCTCTGCTGTAATGTGTGAGCTTGTTGTAGATTGGAATTATTCTAACAATTCACAATGCTATATGAAATTAGTTTTTCACCTTGTTACATTTTTGACTTGACTTTTGCAAAATTATGAAGAATTTGACATTGTTATTATTATTATCATTATTATTATGATTATTATTATTCCTTATTTATTTTTATTATAGAATGCTGCCGTAAGTTAGAATAATGCTACAACACAGTGGACCTCTGTTCACTGATCTGTGTGTGTGTGTGTGTGTGTGTGTGTGTGTGTGTGTGTGTGTGTGTGGTTACATTAATATGGGATTACATTGAATGATTGCATGATTGCGTGGTTATATCACTACACGATTACATTACATTATTTAAAATTACATTACATTATTGCATCCCTACTTATTTATTTACGTCATTTTTCACGTGATCTTGTGATTATGTGCCGTAATTACGTCACATACATTACATTACGTCACATACATTACATACATACATTATCAATACCTGGTTATGTTGTTATAGGATTGCATGGTTAAATAATTTAATATGGACAGTTTCATGTTAGAGTTATGTTCTATTCATTTTGTTGTTGTTGTGGTCGTTGTTGTTGGTTGTTGTTGTTGTCATTATCTTTATTATTAGTGTGTTATTTTCAATGTTCCAAATGATAATATATTTTGTTTGTTGATGGGTTTTTTAATAGAATTGATGAAATTATCAGTCCTAATTATAGGACTTGGATTTGGAATTTGTAATCACGATGACTTAATTTCGGCTATACTGAATGTTTGCGTTCTGACATAATTTGTAGTATCCATGATAAATCAGACTGCATCACACAAACATTACACAAAACAACAACGCAACACCATATGAAACAACAACACAAAACACGAAACATCTACATCAAACACACACGCACACATCTACATCATACACACACACACACGCACACACGCACAACAACTCAAAACGATAGAAACAACAACGACACAACACACGGAGCAACTACATCACACACACACAAAACACAGTTACGCAACACCGTATGAAACAGCAACAACATAACACGCGAAACAACTACATCTCACACACACGACAACAACAACATCAACAACAACATGCAGAACAAAGCCGCAGAGATGACATGGAGTCGTTGGGCTACGTGTTGATGTACTACCTGAGGGGCAACCTGCCGTGGCAGGGATTGAAGGCGGCCACCAAGAGGCAGAAGTACGACAGGATCAGCGAGAAGAAGATGTCCACCCCAATCGAGGAACTCTGCAAAGGATTCCCTTGTTAGTTACGTGTAAATCCTTGTAAAAGATTTCTTTGTTAGTTGCTATTCATTCGTCTTAAAGAATTTCCTTGTAAGCTATCATCCATCCATTCATTCATTCATTCATTACAATCCTTTCACTTTCATTCAATTAAATTAATTTTATTCATTTTGTTATTGTTGTAATCTCGTGACTTTGTCATTTCATGAAATATATCTATAACGCCTCTAGCTTGGTGGTTATGAAGCTTTTTGCTAATGATGTTTAATGGGAAGTGTTGAGTTGCCAGCAGCATAAGTTCATTATCTATAAATTTATCTATTGATCATGAAGTAACTCAACCGTAAACGACTCCATTCTCAAATGAACAACAACACATCTAACTACACAAGTACATGCTGAGCTCAATAATGAAACCAACAACATAAGCATAAACAACACGCAACGACAACAGCTGCCAACAAATCAAAAATTCAACAACCACAATGAAAAAAAAAACCTCCAACTTCCAGCTGAGATGGCCACCTACCTGAACTTTTGTCGAGCCATGCGGTTTGACGACAAGCCCGACTACTCGTATTTGAGGCAGCTGTTCAGGAACCTCTTCCACAGACAAGGTTTTACCTACGACTACATCTTCGACTGGAACATGCTCAAGATCGTAAGTGTCTGTTGCCTATGCGTGTGTCCAGAGTTTGTTTGGTGCACGTTTGTTTGTTGTTTGTTGGTTATAATTGTTCTTTGTTTATTATATATATATAGCCTGGCAACACTAAACCTCTTTTACAACAGCAACAACAACAATCAACCATGCAACCGAACGAGATAACAGACCACAGACGACAGCCACAACAACAACTTCCCCGCAACAACAACATTCACCACCAGGTTGATGACCCCGTGGTGCAAAGTCAGTTTTGTTGTGCTTTTGTGTTTTTGCCTTGTGTGTGTGTGTGTGTGTGTGTGTGGTGTGTGTGTGTGTATGTGTCGGTTTATGTGCGTTTGTTTATGTGTGTGTGGTGTCTGTGTGTGAATGTTCATGTGTTTTAGCATGTGTTTGTTGTTTGACGTTTGATGGTTCTATTGGTGTACAAATGATTGAAGAAATTTAGGTTTTACTGTGTTTTGTTGGGTTTAACCCTTATAAATTAATTGAATATGTAAACCTGAAGATTTTTTCAATTGTTACATGCTGTGATCTGTACATTTGCTGATTGTGAACTTGAAATTAACTTTATAATTAGTTTTTGGTTTAATTTTTTATACATGAAAAATGTAAATAAAATTGAAGGCTATTTGACGAAGACATATAAATTAAATTAATTAATTTCAATTAATTTTTCATTCATTTCTGCTTCAATTTCATCATTTTATCTCAACTTCCTCCTCAACCATGTACCTGATGTACCTGATGATTGATAAACATTATAGCTCGGTTAACTCAAATGTAGGCATTCTAAACACTTTTCTTTAATAATCAGCAGCCTATAAAATGTTTTATAGTTAATTGTTTATAGGTGCGCTCTACATGCAAACACAAGCAAAAGCAAAGAAATCACACATATATTTGCGCGCACACAAGTTCACACTTTTTCTCACTCACTCTCTCTCTCTCTCTCTCTCTCTCTCTTTCTCTCTCACACACACAAACCACACACACAAACAAATAAATAAATAAACATAAACACACACACACACGCAGTTAATCAATCAATCACAATTGAAACGAGCGCATGTTAATAATCAGTTTCTGTTGAGTAGTGAGTTAGTTGGCACCACATCAAACCATGCGTGCACGCATGCACACATACATGTACATTGTACATGTGTGTATCTAGGTGTAGTACAAAATGTACACGTTGATACCTTTTCAATACAAAACAAACAAACGAATCATTCAAATCTCATCTAAATGTTTAATTTGCAACAGTGCATGCAGTTCATTCTCGCAAACAAATCATTAAACAAGCTGGGATAGAACCTCCTCTCCTTGCCTTGTTCTGCTTTTTATGTCAGACACCTTTATTTAATAAGATAGCAACAGGGTTGAATGGAAATTGGGAAAAAAATGTCACCCTTAACTCTAGACTACTCTTCTAGACTGCAAGGAGTAAGATGGTGATGTGGAAATGATTTGCATTTAGAAAGAGGAAATTATTTAAAATAAATAAAGAGACTAATTCTGAGTATTCACTTGACAAAATTATTAATAATAATAATAACCTTAAATAAATAATTAGGTAAAATGTCGGGGAGCAAATTAAAGAATAATGATTTATATTTACGAAAGGTGATTAATTTGTTCAGTAATTGAATGAAATGTAGTGAATGAAATAGAAAAGATCCGGTAACAGTTTTCTAATGTACTGAGCAGACATGGCTGTTTAAGACAATAAATTATTGATACGTGTGTGGTAAAAAACCTATTAACGACAAGACAACAACAACATTATTAACCAATAAGACAGCAACACAATGGCAACTTCAACACCGAACAACAACAAAACGAAAACTTCAACATTCACAATAACACCGACATAACAACAACTCCAACATCCACAACAACACCAACAAAACAACAATTTCAACATTCACAACAACGCCAACAAAACAACAGCTCCAGCATTCACAACAGCACCAACAAAACAACAATTTCCACATTTACAACAACACGAACAAAACAACAACTTCTACAACACCCACTCACAACAGCCAGCATCACTCCACGCCTGATGATGAAAGCACAGAGGAACGATCTGCCTACCAACCTCAACAACAACATCAACAACAGTAGCAGCAACAACAACGTTGCCAGCAAGCGACCAACGACGACAACGAAGGACGCGACGCTTGCAGACGCCAACAACTTTAGAACTCCAACCAGCATCAACAACAACAGCAGGAAATTGTATAAGAAATAATTTTCTAACAACTATAATAAAAACAATAATAATAATAATATCAATAGTAATAATAATAATAGTTTAAAGTGTTTTGTCCATCGACCTATCTAGACATTCTGTTATGTACATAATGTCTTTTTGATTTATTATTGGTTTTTTGCCTACGTTTTATGCCCGTACAGTTGGATAGGTGTGTGTGTATGTGTGTTTGTGCATGTGTGTTTGTGCATGTGTGTTTGTGTGTGTGTTTGTGTATGTGTGTTTGTGCATGTGTTTGTGCATGTGTTTGATGGGAGGCTGTGTGTTTGTGTATGTGTGTTTGCGTGTGTGTGTGATAGGGGGTTGTCTGTGTGTGTATGCGTGCGTGTGCGTTTTTATACATGTGAGGAAGTAAGTTTTTTAAAAATACCAAAATTGTAGGTCACACATTTACAGTTACCAATTTTAGACTTACGGAAATGAGTTGTAAATTTTTAATTAATCATTTAATTATTAATTAATTAATATTTCTTTTGCATGAAATTTTTAAGATTATTTTGTCAACTGATCGAAATAAATTAGTGGCATGTTAATTAAACGAATGAATTTTTCGAATTGTTTTGATAAATGTTGAAAAAGTTATTTTAACATGCACTCGAACGAATTTTAGTGCTAAATACTCTTCTTTTTTTATCAATCTCCCACATCTGCGCCGTAATGTTAATCTCGCTGCTTGCTTGTAAATAAATTTGTCGTTACAATCGTGTCGCATCAAGTTACTCTTCTTTTTCGTTGGATCAGATGAATGAGTGAATGTGAAAGATTTGTTGCGAATGAATGAGAGTATACATTTGTTGAGAATGAATAAATTAGTGAGTGAGTGAGTTGGGGAGTGAGTGAGTGAGTGAGTGAGTGAGTGTTGCTAGCTATTCAGCTGAAAGCATTAAATTGTTATTGTTTTGCAAAGTTACATGTAATAGTGCAAATCATTAAATAAATGTTTACAAGTGCTGTGTTATATGAATGTATGGACAACTATACCCCTTGTTGGTTAAGTGAATTTTATTTACCATGACTGCATTCAGTGCATTGTTGTTCGTTTGAAAGGATGTTTATATGAAAGTCAGTGAAACACAAATGAGAATCCATGTAAATAATAAATCATTGTTTCTTTATATTACACACACACACACACACACACACATATATATATATATATATATATATATATATATATTCTACTTATTAGTTGTAACGCACATTCATACATCCACTTGTTCATTCATTCATTTATTTAATTAATTATCCATTCATTCATTCATCCACCCATCCAGTTTCATCATCGAGTCATTATTTTTATTATCATTCATTCATTCGCTGAATCATCTTTTCACCGACTGATCAATCCATCCATTCATCCACTCATTTAATCATCCATTTATTTATTCACTCACTAAATCATTCTTCCATTCATTCATTCATTCACTTAATTGTCTGTCCATCTATTCACCAATTCACTTATTGATTCACTCACTCACTCACCTAATCATTCATCCATTGGTGTGATGTCCTGGATTCAATCTACCAACCAGACCTTCTCCTGTTGTAACATTTCAGCGATCGATCTTTCATAAATTTTGACAATTTCATTACGAATATCTATTTAATTTTACAAACTTTTCAATTCTTGCTTCTTAAGTTTTCTCCGTTATAAATATCCAAAAGTTTCATTTCTTTATTCAATTTATTTATACATTCATTCATCCTATCATTCTAATCAATCATTCATTTATTCACTCATTCATTTACCTTAACTATCAATACAAATATTATTTTGTTCATCCTTTCACTCGAAAGAAATTGTGCATCAATCAATTTCATTTCACCACACTTAGGCGAGACACATTGTCTCATAATATAATTATATTATAATATAATATAATTATATTATAATTATATTATAATATAATTATAACATTAGGATAAATTATTATTGTTATATTATTTATAACGTTTATGACGAATTAATTAACTTGATTAATATATATTACGATAATATTATTGATGATTGACGGGTTCTCTCAATGAATGATAATTTCCAAGACATTTTCATCGCTCTGTTTTATATAGTTCATTTATGTTAGTTCACCAATCATCAACTATGTACAGTACTGTACGGTATAGTACAAAAGAGTACTATACAATGCTGTACAGTGGTTTTGTACGCGAGTACCAACATGATAAATAATGTTGACAGTTTTTTTGACTTGTACATAACGATCATCTCTACCGACATTTCGTAACTGATTAGCGTTGTACTATGTTATTATTACGTCATGTAATTTATTCGTATTTATTTTTATACAGTTTTTTTTTCAATTTTAATTTTCCGAAGAAGAATTTCAGTTGCGTTTTACGGTAGAAATAATAAAAACGATGATAATTTTTGGTAGACATGTTTCTGATGTTGTTTTTTTCATTTTATATTGTCATCTCATCCATCGGCAGTAGCAAGCAGTGTGATTAGATGTCTTTGTTTCGATTGTTCAACACCCATCTAATAAATAATATTGCCATTATGATAGATTTATACAAAATAAATGATTTTGTTGTTCGCACGCAAAACTTACACATGACAACATTCTTTTCTGTTGAGCACGTAATCTGGTTTAACATGTCCTCGCGAATCACTCGTTTGGGCATCTGTCGTTTTTATTGCAGGGGACACTTCAAATTACATTACTCAACGACCCTACGGTGTATGATCAATCGTCGACTTCACTTCCGTGTTTTACACACGTGTGCCGATGTAAGTGTGCTCTTACGTCGATATACGTTTTTTTCTATTAGTTTATTTCGATGTCAGCTTTTTTCCTGAGGGCTAGTACGTTTGTGCGCGGTTATCATGGAACCGTTCCGTTCGATTGATGCTAAGCCGTTACATAAAAATGACATTTGTGACGTGTGTGCGACAAGCTGAGTTGCAATTCATGGACATGTAATATTTAGTATTAACGCGCGAAGTTTAGGTTCATTGGGGAAGCTTAAATGTTGGCGATGATTGTCAAATGAAACAAGGTTAAAAGTTTTGTTCAAAATTATAGAGGTCTAAACTGAAAATAATTGCAAGGAATAGTTCAAGTTCGACAAATGTGTCCCATTATATTTTTTCACTGTTTGCCGTTTCCTCCCTCTGTATGTTATCGAACAAACATCCACTCTCGTCAACTAACACTAAATTAATCATTTTGACATCTTTTATTTTTCCTGTAAGTCACATAAATCAAACTTCAAGGCATAAAATATATTTCATCAAACGTATTTTGTTTTTGAATTCACTAAAAGTTGTATTAAAACCTGAAAGCAAATTTTGAAGCATTTTCTAATCATTCGAACTTTATTTTACGAGCATAATGTTCCTTTGCCTCACGAACTGGCTTGCGTCACAAAGTTCAATGTTACAATAAATATAAGCAATAAATTTAAAATGTTTGCAGAATGACTGGTTAAAAAATACATTGATTCCATCGTTTTAACGCTCGGAAGCATCTGAGAGAGCAGACATAGAAGAGACACCAAAAACTGCACGGACCTATGATATTGTCGACCAAATTATGCAATGATATTAATTTTATGAGGACACCGAAGTCTTTGTAGCAAAATTGTTTGCACCTTTTACATTCGTGAGCTTCATTGTCCAAGTACGCCTTCAAGTGGCCAACATCTTCTGCCGTGTAGTTTATCCTGTATTCAATAAATTTTTCATTGTCATTCATTTGTGTAACCAGAATGTCCAAGTCGGTCAAAGTCGGAGATTTTTGAGGGACCGAAGTTGGAGTCGGATATTATTCCTCCGACTTTGGAAAGTATTTTCCGGAGTAGGAACTCTTCGGAATGTAATGTCAATGCAATTGTCAATTTTTATTTTAAAAATATTTTATGATCATGTTTTTAAAGAAGATAATTACGTAGCGATATGCAACCATCTTTAATACTGAAAATAAATGTTAATAATGTGAATAAAATCACGTAATTTTTTTTCAGTATATTTTGAAACATAAATATAAAGTAATTTTACAAAGAAAAACAATTACATTGACTGATTTCATTTAGTAGCGATAGTTCAGTAGAATTATGACAAAAGTTGAAAAAATTTTCAGGATATAGAAACTCAGAGTCGTTAATTTATACCCGGAATAGGGATTTTTTGACGGACCAGATTCGGATAATTATCATCCGAATTTCATCCTGTGCGTACCGCACAGTAATTATTTATGATGGTAAAAGAGCCAATGAGACATAAATAGGAAAAAACAATTCCAACATAACTTTTGATTTTTTCACTGAAAATAACTAAACTACCTGGAATTTTTCACAGCTCTTGCTGCAAGTTCAATCAACTTTGGAGCATGGTGTAGGTTGGCAACGTCGAAAACCATATCTACAAATTCAGATTTGTTTACATTTCTAGGACTTGGTTCGTCAATTAATTTTATAAAATCTTCTACAAAAGGCTTCTGACACCCGACATTTACGCTGAGATCAATGGTATCCAGTTTAGCCATCCTGGTCATGTCAGCAGGGAACACGAGGATCAGGTTGTGTGAAAGGTCAAGAACACGAAGCTGGCGAGCCCTGCTGATGCCCACTGGAAGATCCTTGATGGAGTTCCTGGAGAGTTTCAATGTAACTAGTCTTGAGAGATTCCAAATCTGATAGAACAAATTTTCGAGACATCCACTAGATACTTGCATATTAATGGAAATACTGCAAAAAGGAACAGATTTAATTTACAAATCTCATCATTTGAAAATATTGTTATATTGTTGACTTACAATGCATGCACCTTTCATGAGTTGATTTCCATTCAAAGTTCAATAACAAAATTTGAAAATTATGACATGAAAATTGTAATAATTTGTTAGTTTTTATGAGGAAAAAAAGAAAAAAATATCGAAAACCAAGTACCTCAGCTGGAATGTGTTCGATGTTGTTGTGGTTGAAGTTTAAACTGGTAAGTCCGCAACATTTGTTGAACAAACTACTCGGCAGGCTGGAGATCCCGTTGTCGGAGAAGTTCAAATCAGCCAGCTGATTCAAATTGTCCCAAGCATCTGGAAGAGTGCTGAATGTTTGTATGCGATGTTTGTGTGGTAAAAAAGATTCCAGTACTTTAATGTGAATGTTTGTTATATGAATTATATAAAAACAACACAGAACAAATATTTTGTTGGTTAGCGATGCAACGCTCCTTACAAATTAATTGAAAATAAAAAAATTAATTTCACCAATAAAGCCTGGCCAGAACATATTTACCGAATCTGGTTGCCTGACAAATCCAATGTCCTCAGATGCCTCAAGCTGCTAATTCGATTGTCGACCTGCCTGAGGTTGATGGATGAGGCGCAGAGGTCTTCAAGTGTGTGGGGAAAGTTTGTGGAAATGAGGTATTCCTGGCGAGATCTTATCACCAGCCTCGTCACCGTTCTTTCAATCTGGTTGTTGGTTGCCATGTATAAACATTGCTATCAAATGTTCTTGTATGGAAATACTGCAGCAATGTTGTCAAATATTTATACTTGGGAACAATTAATCAATGCTATAACAGAGAAAGCTGGCCAAGAAATGAAACCAAAAAATAAAACGACAACCAAAGAATCTGCTGTTTGCAAGGATAATGATGGCAACTAAAAATGTTCAAATAATCACCGAATAAACATTATGAAATCCAAACAATATACTACAGTAAATTGTACTAAGGTGATGAAGAATGAATGGACAAATAGGTACATAAATGAATGCATCAATGAATAAATGAATGATTGGATGGATGTAGAATGAATGAAAAAAATGAATGAATAAATAAACTAACGGATAGGTGGACGAAGAAATGTGGTAAACTATTTTACAAACTTGCTGTGTTGTTGCAGGAGGAAAAAACTGAAGGTGACCAGGCTGGTTATCATTTAAGTTCTGACGCAAAACGTGCAAGAAGGCACTCAACTTAGACATATCATTCGCCTGATATGGTTATTTCGCATGTGATGTTGTTGCATGTGATGTTGTTGCGTGTTGTTGCATGTGATTTTGTTGCACGTGATGTTGTTGCGTGTTTTTGCATGTGATGTTGTTGCGTATATATGTGTTGCTGTTATTGGTTTTGTTAGCAAAGAACAAATCATGTTAACCCTACGGATGAGAATTTCTTTTGGCGGGTTTTTCAGTCTGATTGTACATTTACCTCTGAAAATGTGTCCATCAAATATTTTCTCAACATTATCCTTGAGCTAAAAGTTTCGCGTGGACGTGTGTGTTTGTGCGTGTTTGTTTTTTTGTATGTATGTGTATGTGTGAATCCAACATTAGATTGTATCTTGACCACACATATGCACTACAACATCCCACAAAATATAACATCATCACACAGGTACACATACACACATACAATATCAAAAAACGCACCTTAAAATATTTCCCTGACTTATCAGACCTGGAGCGAATCAGAAGGTAGGCATCAGTGTTCGATAAAGACTTCCTACCAACCATCAACCAACTCATAACCCAGCGATTTCTCGAATTGTCAACCGGTAGATTCGGCTGGTAAATGTTTACTAATACTTCTGCAGACAATTGCATCTCTGACAATGTGATCTTCAGTAATTTATTTATTGGCAATGAGTTATTTGAGATTAAATTTAATTGAGTCAATTAAGTTAATTAATTAATAGAGGGAACTGGGTCTCTGGACGCTAAACGAAGATTGATTGAATTAAGTTAATTAATTGAATTTTATGTGAGGAAGTTGTATCACATTTAATAATTATATTTTTGAGAGTAATTAGTATTACTAAAATTATTTAATCGATGAAACTTCATCCAGGCTATCAGTATTTATTATTAGAGATAATTAATAATATAATTGTATGTATTTATGACAATTAATACATAATTCATTTGTTTTTTAGTTTAGAGCAGTTAGTATTACTTAAATAATAATTTTAACTAAGGAACAGAAATTATGTGCGATAGAGTTATTTTTTCTTGGCTAAACATTTTATTTAATTATTGAAATTAATTAATTAAAATTAATTTATTTATTATAGAAGTCTTAATAGATATAAAAGTTTATGTTATCTTGTGCTGTAAACATAATTTATATAATATATATTAAAAAAACATATTAGAAATTTTAAACTAAGTGAGGTAACAGAAGGAGTAAATTTATTAAACAAACATCGACAACACTTTTCCAATATATAAAAAAACCTGGACTAGATAGGAATTTGTTTGCATTTTAATGTTTTCAAATATTAGTTATAATATTTTAAGATAATGTACAAAGTTTATTTTTTATTATTATTTAAATTTTATAATTAAAAAAGATGACCATGAGTATGATCATGAGTTTACAACTGCCTTCTACCACACAGGTGAAAGTTATTTCACATTTGCAGCAAAAGAATTTTTGATATATTAATGACATTTATGTGAATTATTAAAAACCATAAAATAAATTGATTTAATAAAATTAAAAAAAATTAAATACAGCACTCCACTTGTTTACTTTACTTTAGTAATTAGTTAGTGACAACGGAACTGACTAGATTTGGTTTTATATTTCCAAACTTATTAAACAATTTTACTTGTAAATAAAGACTTAATTATGCAATAATAACTATTAATAATAATAATATTAGTTAAATATTTAAAAAACACTTTTAGTTCAAGAAGACAATTAAACAACAACAGGAATGAAAGTTGAACTTGCGCGCTATGGATAGTAGGAAAAAACCCAAAGAAAAATTAATTGTAATTTTCATAGAGCTTTAGTTATAGTTGAATTCCAGTATACTTTCCAGTATAAACACTAACAAAATCGTATTTCACTTTTTATGTAATATACTTTAATGAAACCATCTATACTTTAATGAAACCATTAACTTTACAAATCTCAATCTAAATTATTTCTAAGAATTTATCAGATATAATTAAACTTAAGCGTCCTGGTTTGCGATCGTCATTTCTTCTTAACTCCTTTTTAACACTCTCGTACTAAATCTACGTTTACTTTTTCTGGCCCACTCCTCTGGAACTCTCTACCTCCTTCTCTAACTACTTTTCCATCACTTAAGAATCTCAAGACACATAAAATTCAATGAGGATCACTGTTGAAAACCGCTAAAATGGCCCTTTAAAATCTAACTGATTGATTGACTGATAGCTTGATCGATCAAGTTAATCATCAATTTATTGTTTAATCCATTCATCCATTAAATTATCGACCTGGTATTTATTCATCACTAGGTTTATTTGTTAGTACATCAATCGCCAATCAATCGTTATCTAAGTACTAATACTAACACTACAGTTTAATTCAAGGAAGTACAAAGTAACGCAGTACAATAAAATACAGTACAGTGAAATAACGCAAAACAATACATTGCAGTACAATACAATAAAATACTTTTGTGAGTACCAGCATGGTAACTCTGACTGCTTTCCAACTTGTCCAATCATCTACACTTCATAACTGATTAGCCTTGTACGTTGTCAGCTCAGGCACGCTGTTGAATTAGTCACATTCATTTTATAATACATTAATTTTTTTTTATAAAAAAAAAGTTGAGGTCTCATTACATCTTTCTTAGATGTACAAACGACACTCAAACAGTTTATAGGAAGTCTATACACAAAGCATGTAATAGACGTGGCAACGTTAATTTAAATAATATAATTAATTATAAAATTCGGAATTGTAAAAATTAGTGATCTTCGGTTTACAACCGAAGACTCGTAACTCCTTTAAAAGATTTATGATCACATCGTATCATAAACGTATATATATATATATATATATATATATATATATATATATATATATATATATATCGGAATATCTGTTCCATTTTATTTGAAAACTCTCGAAGACCTTTAAGGATTAAATAGGGTAGGTGCAAAATATTTACTTTTTAATTTCGATATGAGAAATTTTAAAATGAATAACGCGTTTCAATGTTAATTTTTTTGCAATAAATATTAAGGATTACGTGTTGGCAATACAATCAAAATTGTGGTTTGTCATATTTATTTGTCACAGAAAACCATTTTTCATGTAGTGTACGTTGATTTTTGTAGTAAGTTATTTATATGTGATCTCGTAAAAATTTAAATTACAGGATAGCAACGATGTCGCAAGAATTATTCGGTTTGAATGACGTCAACAACATGGAGTCAGTAGAAAGTATAGAGGATTTCGATGATGTTAACATTAACAACAGTTGTAACAACAGCAGCAACAACGGCATTAATAAAGATAATATCAAGGATAACGATATTAATAGTAGTGATAATAGTGAAAATAATAATGACGATATCGTTAACAATACTAATACCAACGAAGAACACTGGAATGAGACAATTGATAACAATAATAGTGATAACAATATTAGCAATAAATATAATAATAATAATGAGGAGGAGGAAGAACGTTGGGATGTAGATCCAATGACTCCCCATTTTACGACTTTATACAGCGACTATCCGCGGCCAGGATACTACCCTTTCCTATATTATATGCCGACCCTTATAGAATTGAGAAACCGGGAATATGGATTCAGACAGCCGGGTCTGTTCTGCAATTTGATTGGGACTGGGATTCCCGAGCCCAAAGACCCTAAGGTCGAGTTTAACTTTGATATGGCAGACAGTGACGCAGATGAAGATGACTTTGAGCCAGGATTTTAACTGTGTAAAAATTATTTATTTGTAAATTTTTGTAGATGTTTTATAAGATTTTCAAGTTTATTTAAAATGTTATGCGAGATTACATTTTTTGGGTATTTCTAATGACTATTTATTAATTTATTTTGGTAAATCGTTTTCATATTTGAATATTTATTTAAATAAAATTAAACTATATTATCAAAAAAATGACCAATGAATATTGTTGTTTTATCTGCGTAGAGTGTAAGACTAGAATCTCCGTATTCGTATTCCTCCAATTATATGCTTTATTAGGAGTCCATTGCTCATGTGGTATATTATTTCTATAAAACCATCAGATGGCAGATGATGCCAATATTTTCTCGCCAATGACATCACACGTGTAAGCAATTAACTAGGTCTGACAAATATATGTTTTGAATCTTAAAAACTACTTCTCTCAGTAAAAACATTTCTAACTTGAAATATTTAAATCGTTAATGTATAATATTATTTGTTATAAACTTGCGAAAATTTTAGACGTTCGATTCACTTTTTAACGCAGTGCAATACAATAAAATACAGTTATAACCGTGAGAATGACCAAATTGCGCTATAATCTTTATTTGATTGTTTTTATCTTTTGATTGTGTACTCTTCAAATAAAAGATCGTAAAGATTGTATCTAGGCTAAAAATCAGCCTATACATCCGGCAAAGTTGGGTTTACAGGGCAGGTTTTAAGAAGAGAAATCGAAGTTGTAATTGTGATTTATGTAGTTACTTGGATTAGTTTGCGTTTGAAGCTGTTGTGTTCACCTATCAGAAATCTTGAACCTACGGAATAACGAACACTTGACGATCGTTGAAAGCTACAACACTGGTGTTGAAAATATAGAGATCTTTGAAGTTATAATACAGGTGTTGGTAGTTACGAGGCCAAGGAAGCCACATGATGACTCCGACCGCTTTCCAACTTGTCCATTCATTTATTTACAATTCATGACTGACAAGCCATGTACTTTGTCAGCTCAGTCCCGCTGTTTAATTAATCATGTTTATTTTTATACATTCGTTTTTTTTTAATAAAAAAAAGTTGGTGTCTTATTACTTCTTTCTTAGAGGTACCAACAACACTCAAACAGTCCATTACGACGCTCCACACTCAAAGCAAGTAATTGAAGAGGCAGTGGTAATTAAAGTTGAAAATCTACCGACTAATTGGCATAAAATTTGGTAAATGGCTGAGAACAATAGCATTTGTCATATATGATCCAGCGCTAAAAAAGTTTGGGCGTGCAAACTTTTGATCAATTTGTTTTAAAACATTAGAAATTGTAAAAATTAGTAGGAAACCAAAGACTCTTAATTCCTTTAAAAGATCAAATGGCTGCAACACATGGTATCACAAGCGTAGGGGAGCGTTCCTAAAACGCACTCCACTCCCAAAACGCACCCCCAGTGAAATTCAAATAACGTGTACCATAAATTTTGAATTTTTATTTCCATTCGCTTTTGGACTATCGGAAGTAAACTTTTAACATCGAAAGCGCGTTTGTTTTGAATACGAGCCTGCTTCACGAACAAAAGTAAGTTTTCTTACCTTTTTCGATAATGTTATCAATTCTTAAAATTGGTCTGTAGTCATTAAGAATTATTATCTCTTAATGTATATTATCTTAAAATGTTGCTAATCCTGTAGTGAATAAATGCTATTTAAAATAATATCAATATTTTGTACGGTATTTTCGAGATGGTTCTCTACGTGAGTTCTGTGAGTTTTCCCAAAATGCACCATCCATTGATTCCCAAAACGCACCATGAGGTGCGTCTTGGAAAAATATCAGCAATTTTTTAATAAAATTAAAGAACATTTTATAAAATTAAATTATTAAAATATAATGATTATATTTTCAATTATTATGCCATAATAATTAAAAGTTAAAACCATAATAATTAAGGGTTTAACTTTTAAGGTAGTTTTATGTTACAAATTATAATGGCCACATTGTTATTATATTACAATCACAATGTTGTCATTATAATTTGTAACACAAAATTGCCTTAAAAAACCATAATTATGACATAATTATATACTTGCCTTTTACAAATACTATGGATATGCAATGCTAGGGTACCAGTTTGCTTACTTAATGCCTACTAATTTTGTTATTAACATATTTATTATGTACTAAAACAATCATTTTCCTATCATTTACAGATGGGTCGTTACTACATAAAAAAAAGCACAAGAGGAAATTATAGCTCAGAAAATTTGAAGAAAGCTTTGGAGGATTTACGTGAAGGTCAATCATATCACAGTGTTTCAAAAAAGTATACTATACCACGTCGAACACTTCAAAGACATATGAAAGGCACTATCCGACAACCAGGATGTATAAAGCTTGGTAGATTCCGACCGATTTTATCGGATGAAATGGAGACAGAAATTGTCCATCATGCAATTGAAATGCAACAACGATTTTATGGCCTCACACCAATGGACATTCGGAAACTTGCCTTCCAGTTGGTGGAAATGAAGAAGTTGCCTCATCCATTTAATTCTACTAAACAAATGGCAGGGAATAAATGGTTGCTGGGATTTATTGAACGTCACCCAGAGTTGTCAGTTCGTGAACCGGAGGCCACTAGCATGTCTCGTGCAGTTGCATTCAATCGTCCTCAAGTTTCAAAATTTTTTAATATCCTAAAAAATGCACTTGAAAAAGATTTAACCATGGATGGTTCAAGGATTTGGAATATGGACGAAAGTGGTGTGACGACTGCCCACAAGCCTGGGCGTATTATAGCCAAGAAGGGCACTAAACAAGTTGGCAAGATTACGAGTGGAGAGAAGGGGAAAAATGTAACAGTAATATGCGCAGTAAATGCACATGGATCCTATTTACCACCGGCAATGATTTACCCACGAGTAAGGATGAATCCTCAGTTGTTAAAAGGAGCACCACCAGGAACATTAGGCTTTGCAACCAAAAGTGGTTGGACAGACTGTGAGGTTTTTGTGAAGTGGTTAAAGCACTTCACAGATGTTGTTAAGCCAACCCTGGAAAGAAAAGTCATACTTCTAGTAGATGGACATGCTAGCCATAAATCACTAGAAGCCATTACATTTGCCAGAGATCATGGTATAGACCTTATCAGCTTCCCTCCACATTTCACTCACAGGATCCAACCACTAGATTTAACTTTTTTTGGTCCATTGAAAGGATATTATCGAAGTGAATGTGACAAGTGGATGATCTCAAACCCAGGAAAAGAATCTCTTTCTTCGAAATTGCAGGAATTTTTGGGACTGCATACATGAAATGTGCAACTATTGACAAAGGCGTTTCCGGTTTTAGAAGTGGAGGAATCTGGCCATACAATAACGACATCTTCACAGATGCAGAATTTGCACCATCATTGATGACTGAAAACAACTTAAGTAACTATTTCAATTTAGTCCATCATTTCCTTTTTAACCTATTAAAGATTGTTAAATTTAGGTAATTTTTCAATTATGTAACCTAAATGTCATTATTGCAGTCATAGACACCGTGGTTGCAGGTTCATCAGTTATAGACACTGTGGTTGCAAGTTCATCAGTCGTAGACACCGTGGTTGCAAGTTCATCAGTCGCAGACACCGTGGTTGCAAGTTCATCAGTCGTAGACACTGTGGTTCCAGGTTCTTCAATTCAGGTCATGATACAATCATTGTCTCCATTACCAAAAGCCGAGCCTCGATCTGGAAAAAGAAAGGCTGAAGCAGCAGAAGCGCTGACATCAACACCTTTCAAACAAGCTCTGTTGGAAAAGCATCAACTGCAGCAAATGAAGGTAGAAAATCAAGCCAGAAGAAAATTAATTCTTAAAAAAAAGAAGCTGAAGAAAACTGTGGCTGCTTCTTTGGCTGCTCGAGGGAAGAAAGCTCCTCCACAATCTGCTTTTTCTACAACCAAGAAAACAGTGCCAAAGAAGAAAATTGTTGACAGTGGCAAACGCACGCCGAAAAATAAAGATAATGAAATTTGTCCAGGATGTGATGAGGTGGGTGGAACAGAAGATTGGATTCGGTGCAGTGGTTGTAATGTATGGTGGCACGAACAGTGCACGTCTTATGAAGGGATTAGAGGATTTGTTTGTGATTTTTGTTGAATGAAACAGAGCCATTTATAAACATTTTATCAAAACTTATTCCAACTAAAATTGAATCTGGTTTTGGTCTAAATTTTTTTTTTCATATTCATTTTCAGCATAAAAAACTCTATTAGAATCACTTATAATGTCTCAAGAAAAAAAACCTTGTAAATCAGTGTTATTGTTATAACCTATTTTTTACTTTATTTTGATAGATCGCAATTATAAAGCACCTAATATGCTTGCTGTATCAATTTTACTTGGATGTCCCAAAATGCACCTGGGGGTGCGTTTTGGGAAAATCTTTCCCAAAATGCACCCTCTCAACCAAATATTTTTTTGACCTGCTGTCGTTTTTATTTGAAATATTGAGGGCCAATTTCTTTCTTTTCACACTTTTCACACCATTTCATTTATTGGAATAGTATAAGCCATTGTATTTGATGTTAAGGAACAGCTACAAGCCAAAATTCCTTAAAGGGTGCGTTTTAGGAACTTTCATATATATGTGGGAGTTTCTGTTCTATTTCATTTGATAACTGTCGAGGACTTTTCAGGATTAAATAAGGTATGTGTAAAATTTTTACTTTATTTTTATTTATTAAATTTTGACACAATATATTTAAAAATGCATAACCCGTTTCGGTTTCAATGTTTTTTTTGTAATTCATGTCTATCTGATCTATTTAGATGAGGAAATTTCATTAAATTCATGGTTCATCTAAATGTTTTAGTGATTATTGATAATATTCTTGATCCTTCGTATTCAGCGGAAATCGAAACATTGCTTATCGTATTTTGTAGTTTCTATTAATTTATAAAAATCATTGGGTAGTCAAAATATAATTGAAAGTAAACTGTTGAGATGCTTGTCAAAATATAAAATTTAAATTAAAACTTATTCCGAATAGCCATCTACGGCGTCATTATTTTAAAACAATTATTCTCAATAACATTGAAATCGTAATTGCAAGGAACATTGACGACAAGGTTAGGATTTGTTCCTCATTCGAAAGAAGTTGTTTGAGTGGAGAAGACGCTTCGTAATTTATCTTACAGAATCGTACAAATTGGCATTCTTTACAGTAAAACAATGAAAAGGGATCTTAATTGACATAAAAATTAGGGACCACGTGTTTGAAATACGCATCAAAAACGTTGTTTTTGACATGTTTTTGTCGTATAAAACCTTTTTTTATGAATGAACGTTGATTTTGTAAACAAAAATACACAAGAGAAAATTATTAATTTGATCTTGTAAAAATTTACATTACAGGAAAACAACAGTGTCGCAGGAATTATTCGCTATGTATGACGTTAACATGGAAGAAAACTGGGATGAAATTACAATTTCTACAACGACCACTACAACTAACAATAATAACAACAACAATAAAAATTATAATAATGATAATAATAATAAAAATTTAAATGACGTAGAAGAAAACTGGGACGATGAGGCAACAACTCCTCACTTTAGTCTACCTTTGTCGATAAAGAATTATTTAGAAGACGTCCGACGCTTCAACTCTACTAAAGTAGAAGAAAACTGGGATGGAATAATTAATAATAACAACAATAATATAATAATAACACTATTACTAATGATTCAACCAATGTAGAAGAAAACTGGGACGATGAGGCAACAACTCCTCACTTTAGTCTACCTTTGTCGATAAAGAATTATTTAGAAGACGTCCGACGCTTCAACTCTACTAAAGTAGAAGAAAACTGGGATGGAATAATTAGTAATAACAATAATAATAATAATAATAACACTATTACTAATGATTCAACCAACGTAGAAGAAAACTGGGACAATGAGGCAACGACTCCTCACTTTAGTCTACCTTTGTCGATAAAAAATTATTTAGAAGACGTCCGACGCTTCAACTCTACTAAAGTAGAAGAAAACTGGGATTGAACAACTGAAATTAACAATAACAATAACACTTACTAATGATTCAATTAAGGTAGAAGAAAACTGGGATGAAGAGGCAACGGCTCCTCACTTTGTCTACCTTTGTCAATAAAGAATTATTTAGAAGACGTCTGACGCTTCAACTCTACTAAAGTAGAAGAAAACTGGGATTGAATAACTGAAATTAATAATAACAATAATAATGTTAATAATAATAGTAATGACATATCAAAAAATAATAATAATTTCAATGTATTAATAACAATAACAACAGGAAATGCAAAATTACCGCAAGCAAGAATAAATGGAAATTTTTTTTGTGACTTTTGTTGGATTGGTTCTCAATAAGAAGTGTTTGAATTTGATTTTAATGTGTTTAGAAATATTTTGTGTGTATGAATTATATAAGAATATATTATATTCGTATATATTGTATAATTATTAATTTGGTTAAAATTTTTCAAAATCCCGTATATATCACTGGCTGAGTTAAGTTGCTAAATTAGTCATCAAATTACTGTTTATGTAATAAAAAGTTACAAGCTAATTGTTTTTGTTGTTTGGGCACCCAATGTTACTACGACAATAAATAATAAACTTGTTAATAAAATTTATCACAGAACCTGCCCCACAAATTTAAAATTGACAGCAGTCACACAGTGATACAGACCGCGCTGAATTTGAAATAAACTGTTAAATTTCTTGTAACGTAGATCGTTTAATTAATTGATATTAATATTGTTATTATTGTCAACCAAAACAACAAAAAGTGAATTTACATACAAGGCAAAGATTATTTAACCAAAAAATAGATGTATATCATAATGTTTTAGAATAAAACCTAAAACTTAACATTAACGTGGCCAGCAAATTTCATTTTAGTTTAAATTAAAAAAGAAAATAATTTTATCAAAGCCTGTGAAAGTGGACACTTTTAATTGAATTTTCTACGCTTATTTTAATTGACGTATGATTCTTGGAGATTTTTTACCAAAATCATCTTGTTCTTTCATTTATAAACTTCATTTTGAAGCAAGAGATACATTGAATTGCATGTTTTATTTTGTATAGGTGTCATCAATAAGCATGGATATATATACAATCATCCGTGTAAATATCCATATCCATGTCACTATAGCGGTTAATTAAATATATTATCACGCAAACATGCTCTGCGAATGTTGTGTTTAATTACTATAGTTCAACTTCTACTATTGAAATTCTATCGAACCAATTATAAATCCGCAAGTCAAACAACTTCATATACAAAATACTATATTTGGAGAATCGTTTCCAAAAATAGCAGATTGCAGTTTTATCAGAAACTGATTAGCCGGCTATTTAAAACTTTATTTTTGGTTATTGGATTATTGTTTATTATTATAATTCCACCCTCACACACACACAAATGAACTCACACACACACAAACGAACACGCACACACACGCACGCACATTATTTATTCATTCATACAATTTCTTGGATATGAATCAGTTCAGAATAACTCTATGTAAACGGTTTTACTATTTTTATTGTAATTTTTCATTGATTTGCAATATGAATAAATGACTTGCCACATTGCCATTAATATTTGTTCTGTAAAACCATCAAGAAATATTTTCTCGTGAATTATTGGACGCTGTCGATGACGAAATGGCCCTGTTGAAATAAAACCAAATAAACGCTTTAAATGAAATTAAATTAATAAAAAATACAATAAAAATGTAGTAACATGTATTTATTTATACCATTTGGCACCAAATTGGAGAAAAATGCTTAACTGAAAAAATTTTAATTAACCATTGCCATCAGTTTTTTTATATAAAAATTTAAAAAAATCGTAACAATATGTGAAAAAGTTCCTCTTGGGCAAAAAAATTAAATTGTGTGTGGGTTTTTGTTGAAAGAATAAAAAAGGGGCATGAGCAAAACTCTAAGTTATTGTTGGTCAGCCAAAATGCCTCAAGTCAACAGTGTGGATGTCCCGTCCCCTCTTTATGTGTTATTATCGCTAACTTTTAGACAAATATGACGTATCACGTTTGTATGTGTGGCAGTATGTGTATTGTATATATAATGAATAATTTGTTAATAATACAATGTATTATGTGGCAATGTGAGTAAACTGCACATTGCGCGCAATGGGTAGTTTACTAAACAGTAACAGCAACCGATCATTAATTAATACAGCAAAAACCAACATTAAACAAAGTACAACTGCTCCAAACTTCGACGAAACAGCCAAGACTTAACAACCAACCACCACAAACAATACTGACTAGAACATTAACAACCGACCACATACACGTCCGCCAGCACATACATACATAGATACCTACTCCATACACAAGAACGCACATTACATTTATATTAATTTTTTACTTTTTTATTTTTATGAAAATCACTTGAAATTACCGGTTTTTCCTTGCAGAAAGATTTTGGCAAGGTAAGTTTGGTCTTACAGAAGTCATCTGCATTATTTTTTTTTGAACAGTTATGCAATATGTCATGCTTGCACTGTCTAGATATAAACTTTTAAAAAGTTAGTGTTATTTAAAGTAAGACGATTTATTGTTTCAAAACTTTGAAGTACCGAGTTCAAAATTGAATCCAAGTTTGTTGAAAAAGATAGTCGCGTACTCCATGAGGATGGTTTTCAATCTTGGGTCTGGCGTTTCGACGGCGAACGAACTGGCCATGCACAGGTAAGACGTTTTCATGAAGCTAATGTTTTTGTAAAATAAAATAATTTTGTGATCGTAGAAGTGGTCAACAAAATTCTTCAATTCATATTTATTTTGGTTTTAATCGTCTTTAACATTTTTGAAGAATAGTTAAGTTTTCAACAAAACAGTGGAAACTATAGAAAGATCAAAATTATATCCACCACACCAGCCATTACAACACTCGCGACTCAACGGTGCCAGCATCATTTAAAACAACAGTGCCAAACAGCAATACAATACAACAGTCTCAACACCACCAACTTTTCGCTGCACTGGCCAGAACCCAAGCAGCGTTCGAAATCGTCAATCATGAAGCCGTCCTCAAGCATACAACGTTCCACCATCGAATCCATCTCAAACTGCTTTTCGTCACTCAAAATCAGAACTTTGTAGGCGGCTGCCAGGCCATCTTTATTTATTTCAATTCAATTCAATTCAGTTTTTACTTTCAAATTAAACAAATCATTCAACTCTAATATGCTGGAAATTTTCTCATGCAAACAGTTGGTGCAAGAAAAAGTGAAGGCATTAAATAAGAATTGAGCTAATGTTTTTAGAAATTTACTTTATACGTTTTTCATTAAATAACATTTTTTGCAAAAAAACTCTTATAAAATAAAAATGCGAACAAAAAATTTTTGCAACATTCATCGCACGTGAATTCATTAGTATAATGCCTCAGCCTAAATAGGTAACGTGAAATATTGCACTAAAAAATAGGAAAGGATAAAAGTCTGACTCACCAGGAGTTTCAGAGCACAGAATCAAAATTGTTTCTAACAGGGCCAAATATAAGTTGTACTTATCGTAACAGAACCCATTATGCATTTCTATGCAAGTGGAGACATTCAGCCAGTATCTGGTTATTTATTTGTTAAAACATTTGATGAAGTGTTTATATACGTCTAAACCACCGGTTTTAATTTACAAATGGTTTGTAAAGAAATAGCCACAGACCAGCACTTTTTGCCACTCTTGTTTTGTCGGCTTTTATAAAAAAGTTGATGACCGTTAAAAGTTTAAATTTAAACGAAAAATCGTGAAGATTAAAAGAAAATCAGTATTACACACGTGGAAGGCATTTTTAAGAATTTTATAACTAAACATGTAGATATTGATTTTAAGTAAATTTGTTAAAATTAGCTACTACAATTTTTTGAGTGAGAAATGCTTAAACACATGAATAATTAAACAATTTTCGTTTTTTAGATTTTGGGTCTTTGCCAAGGTTGGATTGAGGCAAGTTTAGCAGCAAGAGATCACGAACAAATGCATGTGATTAATTAACCAACTGGCAAGCTTCCGACTGAAATTCTATCGGTGTCAAAATTTCTTTTGCCACTTTTTTGAAGTTGATGGCGACGTGGCTGTTGTTGGTGTGAAAGCATCTGAACCAAATCCTGAAGTTCCTACTTCGGTATTCATAGCAGGACGTTGTTATATCTGGCAGGAAGATCATTCTTACGTTTCACTTGTCAGGCATTGACGCGATAAAATTCAATTTAGGATATATCGAGAATGTTATTTTTTGAAATTTTAAATCAAACGTACATTTTGAAAAAAAATTTAAATTATAAAAGTAAAAACCATAATTAATTTAAGAACAAACTTCCCATAGGATCGACATAAGCTATTTCAAATAAAAAAGTTCAATTTTCAATTTAACGTTGATATTGTACCAAATAATAATAATAATAACGTAAGTTAATAATCATTTTATCAAAGTTTATTTATTATGCACGTTCGAAAGAAAATAAATTTGTACACACTGACTTGAATTGGTTTCAGTGAGAAACATGAAAACAAGAAGAAGAGGACATATTGCACTCTTTGTTGTTAATGCATCCTTCATACATCTGCTAACATTCATTTTGTATGTTTGCGGAAAAAGAGGTTTTTCAAAGAGAATCATTTCGACACGTTACGATGTTATTAGTGATTTGTTTTCATTGTGAAAAAACAAAACAAAAAACAATCGTCATATTGACGTTGTTCATTAATCAACTTTTAGAAAGCAGAAGTTACAATTAAGGGTCTATTCATAAAGGATTTCACGCTTTTTTGAAGTTTTTTGACCTCCCCCCTCCCCCGTGTCACAAATATTTGAACCCCTTCCCCCCTTTGAAGCGTGACATCCTTTATGACCAGCTTCTAAACTCTTCCTTCTCATTCCAAGAGACGACATCATTTTCAAACCAAAAAAAATGTTGTCATCAGAAAATTTAAACCAAAAAAAAGACTAACTTTAAATTGATTAATGCCAACAATTCGGTAAAATTCATGCAGTACCCTACTGTATAAGTATATATATAGAGTCTATATTATGACATATAAAGTATTGGGTGAAAACCTCTTGAAAAGTGAGACCCATATACATAAAAACCTTAGTAACTTACATTAAACAGAACACAAATAATATAGGAAAAAAATTGTAAATACCACTAACAACAAACTATTTCAAAAGAAAAAATGTTTACACGTGTGTGTGTCTGTGTATGTATGTACCATTGAATTATATATAAGAATGGCTTTATAGTGTTGACCTTCATCTCAAGGTCAAGAAACTTGAAAGCAAACTTTTTTAGCACCAAATTGTCAATGGGTTTTTCCGTTTTCCAATCTATATTTAGCTTCTTCCCTGTTAATGTGCCACCGGCAGCATTCTTGTAAACGTTTTTTTGCTGCTAAAATCGTTCTACGGCAGTTTTAATCGATTTTTAACTTAATAATTTAATTGAATTATGTAAAATTTTTGGAATCATTTACTATTTGATCCATTTTGATTTTATAAAGTTTATTTGTTTAAAAGTTTTAAAAATGTTACATTGTGCCAGGAGACACTAGGCCCAGACTAGTAGAAGAAAAGAGGCTTTGCTTTTTTGTATTTTTATTTAAAATTTTTGACTTTATTTTATTAACTATCGTTAATGTTCAAATATTTTTTATATTGTTTTTATATTATAGTGGGTTTATTATTATTATTAGGATGCCTTTGTAAAATGGCTTTTTGTCATAAGAAATACAGAATACAAAGAGTTTCTTTATTTTAATTTATTGGGTATATATATATATATATATATATATATATATATATATATATATATATATATATATATATATATATATATATATATATGTATGATGAAAAATTTTAAATGCAGCTATTTACTTTAAAACTTAAATCATATTTAGACGTTTTGCTCAATGGATGCACATCTCATCAAGCAACAGCAAAGGCAATCAAAGTATTACAAGTCCAGAATCACAATACTGCAGGCAACAATAAGAAAACTTACGAATGAATGTAATAAATTAAAAAATGAATTAGCTACATTTTATGTTATGTTATGTAACCATAGCAAAATGAATTGAAATTTTGATTAATTTTTTGTTTTTTTTTTGCTTCTAGATAAAAAACTCATACCATTTAAAAAGAGTTAACAAAGTATATAATGATAGTTACAAGACCTTTTATATGCAGCTGCATTTTCATGGTCTTCATGCATACCAATTTTTAAGAAAAAGTGGACTAACACTGCCACACTCGAGAACATTGAACAAGTAAAATTTTGTTAATAATGATATTCTGTAAACTAATATTGCTATATAAAAAGAAATATGTACTGCAAATGAAATATTGCAAATGCTCTTTAATCCTTGATTCGATATCAATAAAGCCTCAAATAATGTATAATAGGAAAATTGGTAGGTTTATTAAAATATATTTCGTTTGTAAAATTGTGAGTTTAAAATATAGCATATTTTGGTAGCATATGCTAGTTTATTCCTTGTGTATTTTATTTATTTATGTATTTTTTTTGTTTCCCATTTCACCATAAACATTTGTTTTCAATTTATTTAACTTTATTGATGTTAAATGTTAAGCATAAATTATCAAACACATTGTTTATTTGTGAAGATGACTTTATTGGATATGTTAACTATGGAGATGGGAATGAGGACATAGTTGCTTCAGAGATGTTGGTTTTTTATGTTGTTGGTCTGAGAGAAGCTTGGAGGCATTCAATAGCTAATTTTTATACAAATAAATTATCATCTCACAAGTTGAAAGATTTTATAGAGAAAGCCATTGATAAGTTACATAATGCTGGAGTTAGGGTAAACAACATTCGTTTTTCTTAAAGATATGTTAAAATTTTTATACATTATATTTATTTTTTTAGGGTTGTTTCACTGGTAATGGATGGGTTGTCCACTAACGTTTCGGCATGTGGATTGCTTGGATGCTCTTTCACATTTCCAAACATGCAAACAAGTTTCTTGTCCCCAACAACCGGCCAGAAAATATATATCATATTTGATGCATGCCACATGCTGAAATTAATGAGGAATATGTTTCATTCTTATATGATATTTTATAATAATAATCCAATCAAATGGAATCATATCGTAAACTTAGTTAATTATCAGCAACAAATCAAAATGAAACTAAAAAATAAATTAACCAAAAATCGTGTAAATTTTGAAAAGTCTAAGATGAAAGTTAAATATGCATCTCGAGTCTTTAGTTGCTCTGCGGCTAAATCATTGGAACTCTTAAACGGATTTTATGTTTTTTTCTGACGTTTATGAAACAATAGCTCTTGTGAAAAACATCAATGATCTTTTCCATATAATGAACAGCAAACTGATACTAGATAGAGAATGGAAGCAATCCGTTACAAAGAGCAACCTGACAACCACTATAGATAAACTTTATGAAATGAAAGCCTACTTACTAAGTTTGAAAAATTTAGATGGTGTTACATTTACAAAACTCAAAGGTTTTTTTTTATATATCTCAATATCTAAACTAAAACTTAATTACAAATAATTTCAGAAAAATGTGCATAATTGGCTTGGACAATTGACATAAGGAGTATTAAAAGGAGTATTAAAAGTAAAACGATACATTTATTTATTTTCTGGTAAAAACAATAAATTTTAATGATTTTCAGGTCTGCCAAGAATCAGAAAGATTTTTAAATATAAATAATTATTGTTTTAAGAAAAAACTTGTAATTGAAAGCAACATACTCCCACAATGTGTCAACGAAGATTTATTTAACATGGAAAATCATTTCAATAATCTACAGAATGCAAACCACTAATATGAATTAATAAAAAAAATAATAACATCATGTACAACATTAAGACGTTTTAACTTAACTAAAGAGTTTTCTATCAACATGCAGTTTTAATAAAAGTAAATTAAATAATAAAATGCAACGAAAATTATACTATTTAAATTTATTAAATCAATTGTTTTATTGAATTTGTACAGTGCTTCTAATAGATTACATCAGAAGCAAATTCTACAACCTTAGTTTTATCTTTATATATATATATATATATATATATATATATATATATATATATATTTCACTTTTCAAGATAGTTGAAAAATAAATTTATAATTATGTTAATCAGACTTTTGCAGTTATACAACAAATAAACAAAACCGAAATCCAGAAATAAAAAAAGTAAGACTGATCTAACTACGATTTAAGTTAATTACTAATTATAGCAAGATAGATGTTTTATAATCAACAAGCAAGAAATATAACAATTTACACATAAATATAAAAGTATACATGTTCATGATCTAGCACCTTCAGGGTTATTTTATAAATAGTAATGTTAAACTAAAAATTATTAAACATTACATACCTATTCTATTAAAAATCAACAGTTTTATAAAATTTAATTAAATCAATAGCATAATGAATTTCATGTTGGCTTAATATTAATTAAACTATTATTTTTTTAATATATTAGTGTCAATTACAGTTGAAATAGTTAAGTTAAAGAATTTTATTTTAACAAATTATTATATAATTAATTTAATATATTAATAAATTATATATTAATCATAGCATTTAAAGTTAAAACAGAAAAAAAAGATTGTTTGCTTTTACTACCAAAAGAAATTTTAAAAACCTCCTCTGTGTGATTAAATTTGGTTTGGGTATGTTATGTTGAAAGCAAATATTCCTTTGTATTGTAAGCTTTGGGGTGTTGAAAGATTCTAGTTTAGGACATATGCACAGGAATTACATCTTAAATTAAAAAAATTATTAGTTGATTAATTTATTTATAACAATATAAATTGATCATGAGTTATACTTTTTAAATATTAATAACATTTCATTTTTACAATAAAATTTTTATCCACTTCTTTTCAGGGGCGGATCCAGGTAATCTAGTAAGGGGGGGCGATTTTTATCCATCATGGCAACCCACAACTGCCTGCAAGGCGGGCAAGCCCACAAATAAAAAAACGTTTAAATTATTTTTCAATTTGCCCTTTAAATAACAATCTATGTGACTAAGACATTACGGCATATATGTCGCGATCGTATCAGCATCGGTAAAGACGGTGCAAGTGTGCACGCTCGCGGTAGCACGCACTCCCGTATCATGTCAGTAAACTTAAATCTACTCTGTTCTATTAAAAAGAGTGATGTAGTAATCATATTATTTACTACGGATCCCATTATTGTAGTGTTAAGTAATCCTTTAAAATATGCACTTTTTAATTTTATATCACTATTCACTTTTAAACAGTCTAACTTTCGTTTTCAAGCGCCATGATTGTGTATTGTGTTGTGTTACTTAAAAACGACAAAAATAGCAAATACAAGTTACTTTTAAATTAAAACATTCATTAATTATTGTTTATAATACTATAAAATATTAGGAACAATTACAGCAAACCATTATCATTGGAAGAAAATGAAGAGAACATATTTTTTACAACCACAGAGTACTTTGGATTCATTTTTTGTGACGTTGAAGAGAAAAAAGTCTGTTGAAGCATCTACAACTAATTCTACTGTCACTACTGAAGTTGGTGGAACAACTAAACTTCCACTTCCAACCACATCAGCAGAAGCTTCAACAAGTAATAGTATTTCTACTGAACATGTTGAACATGAGATAACAGAAACAAGTAATAATATGGACAGCAACAGCCGGAATATGAATGTCAATTCAGTAGTCATAGCTCATGATAGTCTTTTTTCTGAAAATGAACAGATTTCAACTGAAACTGGAACAGCTGAAATTGCTAAGGCATTTTCTAGTAAGATTTTAAATGCTGGGTTTATCAATGATATTGGAAAATTTGTTGAAACATTTATGGATGATTTGACAAAAAAAAGTCTGTTAGAATTGCCATGGAAGCCACCAGCTGACTACAAAATGCCACATTCACTTCACAAGAAGAAAAATAAACAAGAAAAGCGATATCTTAATCATTCTCATCTGGAAAAATATGAATGGCTAGTTTATTCAGATAATAAAAAAGGACTGTACTGCAAATATTGCTCATTATTTTCATACCACCTGACTGCAGGATCTCACAAACAAATGAACTTCAGAAGCTTGTTAAACAACCATTACAAGTGTTTGCTAAACTGTTTGGCAAAGATGGAGATTTAACAATGCATGACAAAGCAACATACCACAAGGAAGCTGTTGAAGCAGGGAGGTGTTTTTTTAAAAAACTATAACGAACCAGCAATAAATATTGTAAACAGAGTAAATGCTTAACGGCTTCAGCAGGTTTTAGAGAATCGTCAAAGATTGATACCTATTGTGGAAACAATTATATTTTTAGGAAGGCAGAATATTCCATTCAGAGGACACAGAGATGATGGCAGTATATTAGACAAAGATGATAAATATTCTGATGTGATTAAAAATGAAGGTAATTTCCGAGAATTGCTAAAATTTAGAGTAAGCAGTGGAGATTCAAATTTAGAAAATCATTTAAAAACGGCTAGAGCATCAGCAACCTATATTAGCAAAACCACACAAAATGCGTTAATTAAATGCTGTGGGGAGGAAATATGTGAACAAATTTTGAGTCGCGTTAGAGAATCAAAGTATTATGCTATTATGATTGACGAAACAACCAATGCATCATATAAGTCGCAAATGACTATAATATTACGTTACTTGCTGCCTGATGGACCAGTTCGAGAAGATTTTGCAGGATTTGTTGATCTACATGACAACAATTACCAATCTGATATTACTGCATCAATTGACACTGAACCTATTCTTGACGGCAAAATTATTGGTCAATCGGTTATAAACATGTTTTCAAACAAGTTCCACCTTTCTCTAGAAAACTGTGTTGGTGTGGGAACAGATGGTTGCAGTGTTATGTCTTCGTTACAAAAAGGAGCAGTAGTTGAAATTCAAAAAGTTGCAGTGAATGCAGTCTGGTGTCCTTGTTATAACCATGCTTTAAATTTAACTTTATCAAAAAGTTCGAATTTACAAGCAATAAGAAATTGTTTGGGTGTTATTAGTGAAGTAGTTGCTTTTTTCAATGCTTCTGCAAAACGAAATTTTATAATAAAGAACATGATAAATTCACAACTGGTTTCACTCTGCGAAACACGATGGGTTGAGAGACATGATGCATTGCTGATGTTTAGTATTGAACTTCCACAAATAATTGATGCGCTAAAGAATATATCTAAATGGAATGACAGAACAACTTCATCAAAAGCAACAACTTTATTAACAGCAATTAGAGAAAGTGATTTTATTGTGTCCTTAGGCTGTGCTGTGTATGTATTCTCTCTAACAAAGGGCTTCAGTGAATTGTTTCAAAAAAAAAGTTTAAATTTACATGATGCAGAAAATTGCATTAAAGACCTGTTAAATGTTTTACAAAAAAAGAGAGAAAACTGCGAAGAAATGTTTTTGGAAATTTTTAGAGCAGCAGAAAAAATAATAATTGAAAAAGATGGCACTTTTACCTACAAAAGATTTGTGCATCGACAGACATGCCGTGAAAATGTACCTTCTGATTCATTGGAAGAATATTACAGGCGATCAGTTTACATCCCTCTTCTTGATGCACTGATATTGGATATAAATACTCGTTTTTCTAAAGAAAATTTGCAGTGTCTCCAAATCTATTCTTTGATGCCAG